GCATCACACAACAGAAAAATATTCTCTCCCAATTTTACTTAAAATTTTGCATTTATTCATTAAAATTTTGTTTTGTAGTCATTACAATTTTCATTATTGTTTTAATTTTTTTTCCTCTCTTCTTCTTCTCTTTTTGCTGTTTTATTCTTATGAAAATTTCGTTATGACACAAAAGCATTAAAGAATTTTGTGCATTTTGTTTTTGGCGTTATGCAAAAGCTTTACATTTCTGTTGACTGAGTTCGTCCTTTTTCCAATTTTATTTATTTTTTTTCTCTTGCCTCAGCGACATATTTTCACAAACGATGTTTGTTTTGTTTTGTTGTGTTTTCTTTTTTCTGTTTTCCGTTATTTGTGAAGGAGATATTAAAGCAAAATAAGCCAAGGACATGTATACGTAATTATTGTTAGCTCCTCTCCAAATATGCCTTTACTAAGTTTTTAAGATTATTCTTTTGTTTGTTTGTAAAAATACTTTAATGATAAGAAATCATTTTTTTTTGCTTTGCCTAATATATGACACAAACTTCTAGTTTTGTTTACTAAAGAATTTGTAATTCATTTAAATGTTATAAACAGTAATTTCATCTTTTGAACAACTCGTTCCGCCTCTAATGGAAAAAAAATCTTACGGACTTTTAGGCGCATTTTTTATATATTTTTAAAATTAATGCACCTGAACAAGTCAGAAGTATTTGAGAGAATACATATTGGTTCTTAAGGTACATTGAAGTGTGATAATATGGAATTAGACTTGTTTAGTTTAAATTGTTTTTAAATTAATGTACCAAAACAAGTGAAAAGTATCTGAGATAATACATATTGGTTCTTAAAGGACATTAAAGTGTGATAACATGAAACTAGACTAGGCTTGCTCTTTCGCAACTCTTGTAAAGTACACAGCACCTGCTGCGTTACTTCAAAGACATATTCGGATCCATAATTTAATATTATTATACAGGACATCATAGAGCTTGTTGAGGCATACTCTTTCGAAACTGTTGTAGGTAATGTTTATCATAGGTTGAGGAAGCGCAACAACTTAATCCATTTATTGAGTAATTGATCTATCTTAGTATAAAACAGTACTACTTAAAAAATATATCAAAAATATTCTCGAAAAGACTACATTAGTTTAGATTTACAATTATTTCTTAAAAATTTCCATATAAAGTATACGATAACTATAGATTCAATATCTTTTTATTTTTGACTCCATTAAATAGCAAAATAAAATATATTTTCTACTTTTTTCTCTACAAGAATAACTTTCATTCATATTGAGAATTTTTTTTTTCAAATATTTTACTACATAGTTTCTTTCCTTAAAAGTTAAAAGTATATAATATTATTAAGTTCTTATAAATGTTATATTAACGCATTGAAATTTTGCCACCAAAATAATATGTAAAACTTAACGGAGGAGTAAAGAAGGAAACTAATTTCCGCGTCATTGTTGAAATGCAACAGAACCAACAAAAAAAAAACTGGAAAATGCTGTCATAGCTGTTGCTGTTGCCGTACTTCTCTTCATGATGACAACAACTTTCAACTACTAAACATATCCAACTTGTAGAACACTATACCAACAACAACAATAGCAACAACAAACAACCAACCAACAAAAGTAACATCCGTTGACATGGCGCTAGTTTGTTTAACCACAAAAATTTATACTCTCACAAAATGTGTATAAAAAAATAATAAATAAAAATTATTTCACTATAAAGGCATCAACATTCTTCCATACCCGCACTTCTGATGGCATGTAATTTAAATTCAGCCCTGACTTACACAACACCCTCTTTTGTCACTTTTAAACCACTACACTTCACTGCAAAGCAAGTGTCAGTTTATCACTTGAATTTGCCAAAGTTGATGAAGACATAAAAGCTGTAGCGAAATTTTCCAATATATGTGACTTAAAACTGAGTTGATACTGATAATCAGTACTAGGATGTGAGCGAATATCTTTTAATAGTTTTGCAATAGTTTTTGTACCATCTAAAAATAGAATAATTTTGAGGAGGATTACGAGTATTCATTATAAGAAGAGCAATATAATCAGATAAAACTGCATAAATATATTTTATGGTAGCTATAGTCGTTATTGTTCAAAATAACTACATCCCTCATCAAATAGCTTACTTGTATATCAAGCATAAATGGATATTGAAATAGAACACTATGGTTATTATCATCGATTTAAAATAGTTTTTTATGATCAGTGATATAAACTAGAAGTTGTAAGATTTTAAATTTTAAGACACCAAATCACTTTCTAACCACATATGAAGTATTTAAAAAAAACTAGAGTTGGGGTTCTTGTATTAATCCCAAATAAGCAGTAATTAGACGTACAATCATTAGACGTACATATATTCTCCTTCATCTTCCTTTTTTTTAAAAAAAGTTCTATTCATGTTTTAAGTGAACTCTGGTTTTTCTAAGTTTTTCTAAGTAGTCTAAGTATTCCGTAAAGAATTATATTTCTTTTTCTTTCTTTTTAATTCCCATTTTAAATAAACTATTTTTTTTATAAAAAAACCCTCTACAATAGAATAGAGCTAAGGTTACTAAAGGGTTAATGAAAGCATACCATTGGTAGTTTATAAAGCTACCTTTAAGTTATGGTTAAGCTGTTTTGTATTAAGCACTTCAATGTAAGTTCAACATACTGATTTTATTTCTGATTATACGAGTCTTTAATAGTCTTATCTTTTTTAATGGACTACTTAACGGGGAACTTGCATAATCATTTTAAGAAAATAGTTTTATCTGAGCTGATAGAAAATCGATTACACCTCAAAAAGGAGAAGAATCCAGTCATATTTTTTGTAAATATCCAATTTTGTTCTTGTTTGAAAAGAAGTTTATATGACGAAAGCGTAAGGAGCTTTCATCTGAAATCAAGATAACTAGAGATATTTCTTTAAAAATTTGTAATATAACATATATATAAAACAATTTTATTTGTTTTATATATATGATTTATCTTTTATATGAATACAGAAATCTATAAAAATATTCGTATTAAAGTTTTTAGCTAAATTAAATATAAAATATCAAATATGTACTATTATTATAACAATAATAAATATAAAATTTATTAGAACTAGACTAGTGGCCCATTGTGATACCATCGGAAATTTATTTAACACTCTAAAGTAACTTTAATCAACTGTCCAGTTTCAATGTGAAAGTTTACAGTTCATATGCGTGACTAAGTGTAATCCAGTTTTTCAGTTCTTCACAGAGAAATTTTTTTTAGATTGAACACTAAAGAGATTCACTATTTACACATCAAATCTTAGTGCAACAAATTGATGCTGATTGCAACAATAAACACTCAGAATTGCCCTTCTGTATCTAATATTATGCTAAGGCAACTTCTCGTACAATTGTAGTCATAGGTACCTTGGTATTTTCAAGTTTATTCTATAAGCCTTCTTACATACTTTGGAATCTACCATATATATGAGATCGCTAGTTTTCATAGCGTAATTTTGGGTCAGAGTTTCCTTGATATGTGACAAGTTTCTTCTATTTCCAAACCAGTTCTCAGCGTTTGTAGTTCTTTGTTATCTAATAATTAATGAAGTAATATAAATATTATACTCCCTTAGTTTACTGCTCATATCCAAGACATATCAACAAATTTTTAGTTTTTGTGTTCATTAACACAACTGCAAATAGTGTACTAAAAATGAGTTCGATATGTCAAAATATTATTTTCGACATCTCATTTAAAATTCTTAGTGTACTCATTAGTGTTTTTTTCACGGTGGTAGTAAATTTATAACGGCGTTTTAATAAACTTTTGAAGCGAACTTTTAACAAATGTAGTGTAATTTATATGTTTAACAAGAAAACTTTTTATAATGTACTTTTAATATACATTGCTGTGATTTTTTTTGCATAAGTAGAAAAATTTTGTTAATTTTGTAATATATATATTTTTTGTTCAGTTAAGAACTTTATTTAGTACACGGTTTCTATAGTGTAGTGTACACTACACGATCAGTACACTATATTTGATAATGTGCAGTTTATTTTCGTTGACTGCTAATAAATCGTTCTGAAAAGAACAGGCATTCTCATCTTAGATATTATTAGGTTTCCCGTACAAGTAGCACTGTGTGTGGACAGTTTATCAGCTCTACAATTTACTAAAGTACTCTTTATAGCTAGAGTACGATTAAGAAAATATATTAAACTAAAAATATATGTATAATAAGTGTTATTTTTTTGATTGATTCATTTCTAGTCGCATTGTTCTAGAAAAGGCATATTAAATATACTCCACGTCTGAATTAATTTTATAACTGTTTTAATGGCCCACTTGGTCTACCGTATCAGCAGTGTTTTATTTGCGGTGGTACAACGAACCATTATGTGCTCAAGTGAACTTTGGTATGATAGACCACCATTCTAACTCAATTAACCTAACCTGATATAGTTGAATCGCATTGAGTACTGTCAGTGAAGTACTTAACTTATACTTGCATTTCAAATCGTTGCTTATTAATACCTATTATTATTTCCGTATCATTAAATAATTTCCATTACTTATTGTACTGATTGTGCATACGGATTCATTTCAGTGATTGCAGCAAATACTATCAATTGATTTAAGTAAGTTATGCACTAAGCAAGTGTTTGTAAGAGTAAAGAAACAATTACTAAATAAATATTTAAATTGAATTGCATTTAAATGTATTTTTCAATGCCAGCTGTAATCCAAGCACGAAAATATTATTTTTCTTTTATTCTCCTTAATGTCCTTTTATGTTCAGTGAAAAGTAATCGTTGGTATTGTAGCGCATATTTTATTTATGCAACACACATTGTCACCCTTTGCAGGAAGGGTGATTTCCTTCTCGGTTCAGATCCGTCCTGCATTAATTCGGTACATGCAAAAGTGTTTGGTTGTAAAAATTATTTTAATTTTCCATTTTGTACAGCGGCGTGTGTTTCTGTATTTCTGTGTTTTAGTTTCTTTATCTGTAAACTTGTTCTAGTGTTTGCTTCAGTTATTTAAGCATTTCGCTATATCTCCTTACATCTCTGCATTGTCAACTAATTTTCCTTGTTCAGAAATTTTTAATTCCATTTTGCTTAGTGTTGTTGTAGTTTAGCTGTTCTTTAAAGTCATTTTTCCATCTTGTTTACAGCTGGCAGCGATTTCTTCCAAACTGAAATTAACTTCATCTTTTGTGTTCAACTTTTTCTTTTACATTTTTCATCCTTTTCAGGTTACCACGTTCATCTTATCGCCTTCACTTGTGCTCCTTTCGCGGTTGTATAGTGGGTGCTTATAGTTAAGCGATGCCTCTTCCGAGCAGTGCTACTAGAGCATACTCCGTGTTTGATAACTAACAGTCATGTAATGGCATCCCGCACAAATTGCTGGTAGCTGAACAGAGAAAATTGCACTTCCCCCGCCCGCTCCTTGCCGAGCTTGATGAATACACTAATTTAAGGGATTTCTTAACAAATTATTATGGTGTTAAAATAGTTCGCCAGGGACACAGTTAGTTACACAGCTTCAGTGCAGTGGTTAACATTGACCAGCAAAAAAATATTGCTTCTTTCATCTAATAAAAATGTTCATTTTTTAATGATTCCAACTCAAGTAGTGTAAAGTTAATTGCTCTTTTATGCTGTAAATAAGTTAAATTTCGCTAATAAGTTCAGTTGCGAATTGTTTGTTGTGCAAAGTTAATTTGTTCACACTCAATTTTATTTCAAATATTTAGTAATTAAATGCGATGAGCAATTAATCTTAGCGGAAATAATTAAAATGCTTTGTTGCCCACTGTACTCTCCTGCTAGAAAAGCTGCTCATGGTATTATTCCGCGCAGATCAAAAATCATGCATAAGTCATAGCTGCAAGGACTCACTTTACAACCATTGTACATCGCGGTGCATTGTTGGAAAATGCACATTTGTGCTGTTAGATCCTAACGATAAAGTTTGCGCTGTGAAAATGTACCTTCATATGGGCATATCAGATATCACATCATCATCCTCATCGTCACCGTCATCGTCAGCGTCATCGTTGAACAATTGAGGAAGTTTGAGCTTATGTACCCCTATGACACTTACGTATGTATTTCATAACTGCACAAAGCCAAACTGGCACTAAATTTTAACACATAAAAGAACCAAAATTCAACACATAAATTTGTGTTTCTCATTAATTTAGTCTTGGCATAAAGAACAATTAATCTGCAGGCGCATAAATACAAATTAAAGTCTCATGCGGGCTTTAATTGCTTCCTCTAGGAAACTCACGAAACAATATTATGTCCATTTCTCGGTTTTTTCCTAGCAAATATTTTAATGAGTCATGTGTGCACTAAACAAATATAGTAAATGTAATGGAGTCATAAATAGTGACTATATGCTTTCAACCAGATTTTTCTTAAATGAAATCATTGTACAAAGTTATGGATGAGGGTACCAAGTATTACCGCAGAAACAACAATATGACGATATGTACACAGTTGTGGCTGACCGCAAACACGCATAGATCTAATAAATGCAATTTATAAACAAATTAGAGTCCTTAAAATCAGTCAGTAATGCAATATATTGCTGCACCTAAAATATGTCTTCTTCAAGATAGGGTTCTTACGCCTCAGTCGCAAAACACAGTAGCCTCCACCCTGTCGTCTTTTGGAGTTTAACTGGTTGTAAGTGGGTTTTAGCTATTGATACCCTATCAGAATTGTGTATACGGCACTATGTAATCCACGTGCCTATAATGTCCGTTGTATTGGACTCTGGATTGGCACCGTAAATAAAATCTAAAATAACGCCGCATGAATGTTGTCATTTATGTTTTCATGAGATCATTATAGACCAAATAAAAGTGGTCGAGAGGTTGAAAAAATATATTGAATAGTTGTGATGAGACACATAGCCAAGCTGAAGGCCACTTCAAAAAGATTCGAGGGACTATAGTTTGAGCACCGTATGTATATTCACCATTAGTGCAACTGCTTTGTTTAATAAGATAAAAAGTTTTTTTAATGATTGAAATTATCGGAAAACTCTTGAGTCTCCGATTTAAGTTTATGTACTTGAAATATTCAGAAATTATTTGATGTGCTACTGAAATTTATTTCTAGTATATAAAAATTAAAAAGTTTTTTTTTAATGAGTTTCTCTATAGAAGTTTAAGTAAGTCACATTTAGAAGTGATAATTATCCCTAACTTCGAAATAAGTATAGAAAATCAGCTGCAAAAAAGTGTGTGAACACATAACATAAATAAAAATTATAATAAATTAGAATAGCTAAAATTAGTTAAGATAGTACTTCTTTCATTAAAAATCCTTTACTTTTTTCTACAAAAAAAAATAATATATTTTTTTTTTCGTTTTATTTCAGTTTTATAATATTTGAAAAATTCAAAGAAGGTTGTGTGAACGCTGTAATTGCTATTTGGAATGCAAAAAAAAGAATTTCAAGGTACTTCCTTAGGGCGATGTTTTCCCCATTTAATTTCTGAAAGTACAAATTATTCTCCAAGTATTTATGCAACATAATTTCATTATAAAACAAAAACAAAACGAAAACTTGACCAAGAAATTTGTATCTTAAAGTATTCCAAATGAATTTTTTACAAAATATAAAAGAAAAAATAAACGTAAGACACAAGATACAAGATAAAGGTATCTATTTATGTATATGAGAAAAATTTATATTTTAAATTAAAATCTGTAATACTTGTATATTTGAATTTAAAATAAAAAAAGAAATATAAAAAAATATTTTAGTTATTAATTGTAATTACATACAGAAAGAAATTAAATAGGCTAAATAACAATTAGTAAAAAACTTCATGTCATATACACATAATTTTATATATAAGAAAAATAAAAAAAAATTTTAATCCTTAATTTTCTCTATTTTTGGATGGCCTTTTTTTGTAGAATTCGGTTTTGAGCCCTGAGCCTAAATGAATGAATGAATGAGGAATATAGGTAATGTTTCATATGCACATTCAACAAATTTGACTTGGATTTAAAGTGTAAGAACTTTCTTGAATTCATAGTAATATATGAAGGCAAATATGTAAATATATATATAAACATTTTTATTTCATATACTATATAATTGTTGTTCAGCTTATATAAAGTATAGAAATTCTAATAACACAATAAAAAAAATACAAAAGTTTACTGAAATAACAAACACTTCACATTATTAATTATTTAAAATTAATTATTTTAATTCCATTAATATTTGTTTCCATCAAAGTGAAACTTTTTACTCGACCAATAATCAAAAATAATTTGAAAGTGATTAATAAAATCACTCATATGGGACATAAATAATTATGGCGACACTATATATTTATTTATAATGCACACAATAAGTATATTCAGCCCATTTAAATTAATTTCAAGCAATTCATATGTTTGAATTGCTTGAATCCACGCCCAGTACAGGTATGCTCTTTAATTAATAGTATTGTGCTCTTGAGCTTATTAAAAGCACATTAATACTAAATTGTGTCCTTCTAAAGCAAAATGCAACATGTGATTTCCTGCCCTATATTTTTGAGTGACAACCATTCTTTCCACTCAAGTTATGCTGCGGTTTAATTTTAATAAATTTTCACTCATTTTCTTTAAGGAGGAGTAAAATCAAAAAGTAAATGCAGCTTTCACTCCAAAGCGCTATTGAGCCCAAAATGAAAGCCTTGAACAAACATTTTGAAAATAAAAGATATTTTCAACACATTATGTAAACTTAAATATTTCTCGAATGTTCACGGACATTACTGCAAAATTTTATATAAAGTTTAAATGAAAATGGAGAATTTTATACTAAAAAGCTCTGTTATTTTAAGCTTACTAAGGTAAAAGCTTTTATAGGTTTTATAGCAGAATTTTAGAGTAAGTATTTGTATTTGCAAATTTGGTCGTTGTCATTGGTTTAAAATTTTTGGAATAAATCTTTTAAAATCGTATAAATGTTAGTTAATATCAAATGTTATAAAAAATTATTTATATGTATAATAGTTTATGGCTTTATTATGAAAGTAATTCTAGAATACTAATTTAAAACTACACCAACCATCTACAGCTTTTATCTAAAATCAGATTTTAAATTCTAGAAATATTTTTGTATATTTAAGAACTACGAAAAGATTTTGAGCTCCAATCTGTTGATAAGGCCATGAAGTAAAAGTAACATATTTGTTAATACCACAGGTATTGCTAAATCATATTCATAGTTATCCCACCATAACACCAGTGATACCATACAACACCCAAAAACTTCTTGAGACATCATAATATTTACATTTTCTTGCAGTTTTTCTATTTTTCCTTCTTTTTCCTTCCTTTATTTCTTTCCTTTTTTTTGTGGTATTCTCAAGAGCAAGGTGTCCGAAAGCGACATATCCAAGAGTGTGTTACCCGAGAGCATAATAGACAAGAACGTGGTATTCAAGAGAGTAGTGCCCAAAAACACAAAGTTGTAGTAACCAACATTGTGGTGCCCAATAGCGTGGTACAATAGCGAGGTAATGCCCAAGAGCGTGGTGTTCAAGATCATGGTGTCCAAATGTATAGTATCCAGGTGCTTGGTGTCTCAAGACGTTTTCCCAAAAGATTGGTGCTCGAGACGGTGGTGTGTAAGAACGTGTTCTCCAAGAGCGTAGTGCCCAAGAACGTGATGTCAAAGAACTTGGTGTTTAAAAGTATATTACCCAAGAGCGTAGTATGCAACAGTGTGATACCTAAAAATGTAGCTCCAAAGAATATGGTGACTAAAAATATGGTGCTAAAAAGTGTGGTACCCAAGAGCGTGTTAGCCAAGACCGCACAACTACATTTGTCTTCATAGTTAAGCAGCAGTCGCATATATCATATATCAAAAATAAGGTTGACTTATTTTTAGTGAGTATAGAGACTTTGCTTCTAACCAAATAGAATATAAGTTTTATTACCCAACATGCTTTCATAAAAAGCTAGATTTCTAATTACTAATTAACTAATTAGCGCGATTGATAAAGGAGATTATTTTCTTTTATAATCCTATAAGTTTAGACAAGAAAATTGTACGTTGTACTTAAAATTTTGAAACCCAATCTTAATTCATTGAGTTTAATAAATGATTCACATAATCTGTGTCGTAAGATAACAGAGGCCTATATAGGTATTCCGAACAAAATTGCAACACAGTTCTGAGAAGAAAATCTGATCATTATTAACAGTGGTTTCCATTTTTAGTATATACCTATATGAGTGTTTAAAACGTCTCACGACAGTACACAAGAATTATACGAGTAATCTGACTTAACTACATCGAACTCAATTCCCTGCATGATCACACACTCTAAACTCAAACGTTACTTTCTGGTGATGCCGGCGTGTTTATATCTGACACCGCCAGTTGGCGCTGCAAGTTCCATTCCCATATACTATACTATACTTTATAGTTTCATAGAATGGTGTTCATTTATTATATAAAGAGAATATCACGAGATGAAAAATGTTTCTTATCAGAAGATGCAAAACAAACGGTTAATACATTTATTCTTCTGGATAGTACAGATATGTAACCCGATCAATGATAATACGGATTGGTAAATAATAACATTAAATAATGTTAATTATTTCTTATTAGGGTGCTTATTAGGTAAAATGTATTATTTTAAAAGTCCCACATACAGGTAAGGATTATTGATTACTATATAAATATATTTTAAACAATTGAATTATTTTGAAAATATTAAGAATATTTAAAAGGAGATATTCGAATATAATAACTCCGAAATAAATTCATAAACCCTGAGATCAGAACACAGTGTGCCTCTTGCACTAAACAATCAACTCAAGGGGCAATATATTATGCTGCCTTTGAGATATATACCAGTCATATACCATATAATGACGTAAAGGACGTATTTTGTCAATAAGTGCATTTATGGTATATTTTCACTAAAAATTAAATTTTATAGCAATATAATCCATGCGTTTGAATCTTATAACCTTGTTTGAGATTAAACTGATACTTAGCTTGCAGCTTCTGAGAGCTGAAGCATTTTCGTATATCAGATAAATAGTTTAAAATATTACGATATTAAAAAGTTTTTCTAAAATATTTTATTTTTAGAAAGTTTTTATCAGCTTTAATAAAAAGTGTATATATTGTATGTAAAGTTTCATAAAATATTTTTTAATACTTTAACATTGATAAAAAGTAAAAATTGTAAAAATTAGAAGAGATTTGTTCTGTACTTACATTTTTTTTGGATATCTAAATTGTTGTTTGTATGTTTGTAGTTTGTAGTTCGAAATATACCAAAACAGACACAATAACAAACATAAAATTAGATTCTTAAAGTCACATTTAATAGCATTAAAACGAAGTTTATAAAAAAATCTACATACAAAAGCTTGAAAAGAGGATAACGTAGTTACATGAAGATATATATACGAGTATAGTATGTGTATTACAATATTACAATATATTAAAATCAACAATGAAAAAAAATCAACACAATGAAATATACATCGTCCCATTTTATAGAAGGGTTTTGGCTTCCGAAGTGAAATTTGTATGTCAATGCCAATCGTAAAAGTGATAATATCATGATTTATAGTTGAGTAAAAGCGTAGGGCTTACATACATTAAAGTATTTGTTTATGTACAAAGTTCCAAGCAAATAAAATTAATAAAAATGACTTACCCATGTCATCTATTATGGGTGCCATACGCAGTGTAATACCGACCAACATTAGGCACATAAGTAATAGCAGACAAGCCGTGGCTATTATGGTCCAACGAGCCCTTTGCGACAAATCATGCGGATCGATTACCTATAAGTATGAAAAAGGAGTAAAAATAAAAAATTTTGTACTTTTTAGCAAACATTTTGTTAAAATATTTTTGTATATAACAATGGATTTCACTACGGTAAGTGAGTAGGAAAACGTACCTTAACCACTTGTGTTTCTAAGTCCTGTACTAAAATTTTTGGTTTTTTATGGCGATGTCGTTTTTTATGCCTGTGGTGTCTATAATTAAAAAAAATTAGTTGTCATTAGAAAAATTTTTTAAACAAAGAACGACTAAAAAATTAGTAGTATAAGAAAGTAATACTGCCCATCGGAGCAATATATTTAGAGAAATAAATACAAAATTAATTTCATTAAGAAAATATATGAAAAATTTATGTTTTTATAAATAAATCACCGTTGCTTGTTATGTTCTCATTGTATATTAAAATTTATTTAATATTTTGTCTTTTGTAATGTATGGTGGGACGTTGGGACAGTGCACTGTCCAACAAGTGGCCCCACTGAAGTGAAGGATTAGTCGAAGTAGACCACGAAACGACTTGGGTGCTTTTTCGTCCTTCGATTCTCGGATGTTGTTATTGAGTTAAAGCTGGAGTGGCTTCCGTTCGCATAACTACATCTTTTGTTAATGCAAGCAGCTCATTTAGCTTGAGGTTTCCAGCCAAGTCATCACCAACCCAATGGTGTCCCAAGACAGTCCTCCTCCTACTTGCCAGTGCTGGACATTGACACAATATATGCACCGCTGTCTCCTTTTCTTCTAGTCATAGTCTGCAAGTGTCTTCCTCAGCAAGAGTTATCTTTTTGAGGTGATACTTGAAGTTGCCATGTCCAGTAATTAGTCAGGTCAGCCAGCTTAGGGTGCTCCGGGAATAGCTAAGCACCTTTATCGCTTCTCTGGCCCACGGTTTTGGTAACATGAGTTTGGTCTGTCTACAAGTGCTCAACTCTCTCTATCTATTAAGATGAAGTGAGGTTATCCACTTATAAACATAGGCTGCCGTCATGCTGCACCCCAATGGTATTCTGAGCTCCGGGCCACAGAAATTATGGCTTGATCCTTGCTTTGCAAGTTCATCATTTTGTCTTAATAATTTATTATTTTAATAATCAAATTTTTTTTAATAATAATCTTGTTTTTTACTCTTCTCCCTAACATTAACTTCTCATATGTAGGCGTTCCACTTGCTACAGTTAAACCGGCAATTAAACAAAAATACCTCAGCATAGCCAAGCAATACTGGGCTGACGAACCTCAATGTCAGATTTCTAAGTTGACTAGGTCTAATTGAGACAAGAAACGAACTAGTCAGCTACTATAACTAAGGCGAAACCTGCCCAGCACCACGGTATCTGTGCTAACGGGACACTGTGAAATAGGAAAGCATGCTATGAGACTAGGTCTACCCTATAATGATTTTTGTCGAGGTTGTGGCTCTGAGGATGAGGAGGAGACCATACTTCATCTCACGTGTCTGTGTTTTTCCTTAGCTAGAAGAAGATTAAAGACTTACGGATACCCTTTTCTCACCAATCTGACTGAGCTGTCATCCTGTAATGTTAGGAACCTGGCCAAGTTTATAGAACTGTCAGGTTGGTTTTCCTATACCAAATGGGGGAGTCATTACCTTCTTCGTTGTTGGCTCTATACTGATTTAAATCTATATACATACCAATGCCATTCCTGTGGTACCACAATGGGTCATCATTTGAGCTCAAGTGGGCTTTTTGGGCACAGGGTCGCCACTCCAACAAAACCTAACCTAACCTAACCTTGTTTTTTAAACGGGCTAATTGATTAATACTACACTTAGCAATAATTCATAGAATGAAACAAATTATTGCTAGATTATAAGAAAATTCTAGTAACCTGAAGCTGACTATAAAGTATAGTCGAAATATTGTTACTAATAAAATCTTTTAAAAAGCAGAAACTTTTTAAAATGTGTATCAATATTTACTTTTGATTTACAAACTTAATATTTTGTAATATTATAAATTTTTTTATAATGTAAAACTTCCAAGTCAACGAAAAGACTTAAGAGATCCAAGTGATATCTAAGGTCACCAAATCTATCAACCAACATATCAAGTAAAATTTTATTTTATTTATTAAAGATACTCGTTAGCTTAAACTCAGTTCAATAACTTTAATTCCTGTAAAAATCACAGAGGACAATTATTTTGTTAAATATACACATGGAAATAGAGTAAGCACTCAACTAGATACAATGTAAACTTTACATATAACACAAATATCAATTTACATACGCAGACATGTATCTTATCTTGCGATCCTTTACAAGGACACACAAGTATTCATCATACATACATCACACTCTGAGAGCAATCCTTGACCTGAATTTCTTGTAAGTTCTAAATTAAAATGAATGCAATCATGTGCGTAATGAAGTCAAATTAAAAGCACAGCAAAAATGACAAAAAGTGCTGAAAACTATGTATCAACAAAAAAAAAACGAGATAACTGAATAAGAATTTTGAATCAATACTTTGACCAGAAGCAGTTTACAGACAGTTGTCAGGCAAACGGAAATATTAATGATAACTCGAACAGCAGGCAATGCAGGAAAAGGACCAAATTCCCACAACCAACTAAAAAAGACTGTAGCAATTCATAAACCATAAATATTAGTCCGCCATTTTGCAATTTTTACCATTTCCGCTTCTCATACACAATATCCGTTTAGCATTTACATTGTGGTTTATTTTTCTAAAAATCAAAAACAACAAGAAAATTTGAAATTTTTGCTACTCCTACTGGTGCTACTGTGGGTGTATTAAAGATGAACATATATCCGTGGGATACTCATACGCTATGTTGTACAATATCATTGCATGAATAGAAAAGCAATGAAGCAAATATTTCTTCATATGTCTGATTGTTATAACTATTGTTTCCTTAATTCTAACAAAACCATTAGTTAATCATTAAGTCACCTCAACTCATCTCATTTTCATCCATTGACAAAAATAAAAATGTCCTTGATACTCTACTTCCTACACAAATGTATAATTTATTTATGTCGTGGCTTGAGCATTAAACCCAAAAAAAAAAAAATTGTTAATTATATTAAATGTCATTTCCACTCATCAACTCAGGCAACCTTGGCATTCAAATGCATTGTTTTGAAATTTATTTATTTACCGATTACTTTTATCGTATTGTTATCGATATCATTAATAATATTTGTAAAAAGTAATCTTACCGGTGCCTCCGATGTCGACGATGGCTGCTTGGTACGATTTCCTCAAGGTCATCATTTTTGTCCGACTCCAATTGCAATTGCATATCGTAAGCAAAATCCTCATTGTATGGGAAGTTTCTGTAAATATTAAGGTAGATTAATTCATGCTCCACAAAATAGAATTGATTTAAGAAATAATTAAGAATTAATTTTAAGTCAATTAATTAATTAGAATAATATTAACAAGAAATAAAATTAAATTATTATAAATTTAAGAAGATTAGAATAAGGATAATATAATACTTACACCGGTTCATTTGTTGGCATGCTGAGTATGCAATGCTGCAATCCACTTGGTGTCGGATATACCAAAACTGGATCAGAGCATCTATGGTAGCGCTCTAAGAAAATTATAATTATATTATTAATATAACAATGTAAATAAAATATTAACTTGTTAAGAAAATATATTATCATTAGTTCCTTTGAGGAGCATTGGACCTACATAACCATTATAATCTCTTACAGTTTCAACGGAATTAATCACTTTCACCGAATTTTAATATCCCAAACAATAATAAGAGAAACCTTATTAACTGATATTGTAATGGTTCTTTACCTTTCATAAGAAAAATAAAACAAATAATCAGATATGAATCCTATGTGTTTCAAGAAACGCTATGGGTTCTAAGTCCATTAAGAGGTCACAATAGATCTGTAGATCGTAGTTCAAACTTTTCAGTATTATAATAATTATAAAAAATCTTAAATATCTTTAATAATAAATTAGAAATTTTAAACAGACATCGTTTTATTAATAAAGGATTGTATTTGAACATAACAGTCGAGCCTCTGGCTTACAAAGATATATCTAAATATACGTTCTTAAAAGATTTCTTAGAAGAATTTCAGCTAGAATTCTATTTGTGAAAGCTTTTAAGGTAGTATAGTATATGCTGCTTTCCATTTATTTTATTCTTAGATATTTCTTTTTCAGAACTAGTAGTATTAAATAATATTCAATTTCGAAGAATATTTCTGATATGTTGGATTACATATTTTATTTCATGTATTGGCAAGAACTCTCAAAATCACAATGGAAGAGAATATTTTCGACTAAAAATGAGCACAGGGAAAGACCTACGTTCATCTATAACCCCACAGTGTTAGGCTTTTGACTTTCAAAATAGTTGAATTAAAGTGTCGAAATATTATGATCAACTACTAAGCAGATTATGTGGTACATAAAGGCTTCTTTATTTTATGAAGAAACATATTATCTGGTAAATAATGACTTCTTCATTTGTCTAATAATAAGAATTTTTTCAATTCACTACAAAATTTTTAATATTAAACTGTAGTCACACACACTATTTTAAGGTATTCAATAACAGAACCCATTAATTAAATTACTTAAATACGACATAAAATGGTAGACGATTTTAACTTTTATAAACCTTTCCACATAAGTCTATAAAAGAAACGAACTCATATTACCAGAAAGTGAACTCAAAAGAATCGAATAATTAATTATTTAAAATCCTATACTCACTGTATTTTCGTTTACGTCGTCGGTATTCATCGTCGCTACCACTTTGCCCCGATGGCCAACTGGGCTTAAAGTTTTGCTTCTCTTTTGTAGATTTCGTTGTAGTGCAGCAACCGGTGGGCGCCACACTTGAACCAGTCGAAGTGGAAGTCATGCGATTCAATTTAGCTGTATCGCCCGGTAACGTTGTGCTGGGCACTATAGCACCATTAGTGAGTACGCCATTTCGCAAAGCCGTATAAGATGAGCTATCCGCATTTATATTTAGCAGTGCGGTAGGTGTGGCAAATGAGGAAGTTGGATGACCATTAAGGGCTAATATATTGCTCTGTGTTGGATTAAATTTATTATCTAAACTATCTACTTGTCGATCACTGTAATTCATATTGCTTGTAATATGTAACTGTTCCAGCTTTCTTGCTGCTACTGTGGAATGTATAGTATTTGGTAACGGTTGAAGTAATGCCGGTAACAAAAAACGATTACTACTATCCCGCCCATTATGGGTAGTTGTCAGAAGACTCGTGCTCTTCGATTTATAACGATTATCTATTGAGAATGGTTTGCTTATAACAGCACCAGGTGTACCAACGCCACTGACTGCAGTTGTAGGCGACGAAATAGGTGCCGCATGCAATGATAAGGAATCGCTCTGATTTAGCAATGTGCTAAGCGTCACATTTGCGCTATCTTCCGAAGTATTTTGGCGTGAAAAATAACGCGCATTGGCAGCATCCATATTTGTAACACAACCATACATGCTGTCCGTGTAGGATAATTGGTTTGGCAGAAAACGTGATTTAGTTTGGGTTTGCCTAGTGGTTGTGCTGGGATTTAAGGCAGTTGCTTTGGGTGCTAGTGTTACAGCAGCGCTGTCTGCAGTCGTTATAGAAACAATAGTGGATGGAACTGGCATACCTGTTTGTACTGCTGCTGCAGGCACTCTGGTTAAAGGTGACATTGGAGCCGGTATTATTTTCATTGGATGTCGTGGTAGTATCGGACTACACTGTGCACTTATTGATTTCGCTTCTAGGATTCGTAATCTTTTAGCGATACGTGCACGCTCATAAACCAATGATTCAGAGTCTTCTGGTATAATTTCGGTAGCACCAAAGCTCACCGTGCAACGAGAACTGGCAAAAGACAAACTCTCAATGCTATCACGTAGAGATGTTAGACTATCTTCAGCCAATGTTGAGGTATGCACTCGAGCACCAGTTCCATTTTCATAACCACTGGCCAAAGAAACTGTGTCATAGGTACGCTCTATTAAAGAAATTGGCACAGTGCTAATACCATTTCCATTACCAATACTGTGACCAGTGGACAGATTTATTGCTTGTGGTACTGCTTTCGAGTCTCCGGAAGAACTTGATAATGCGATTTCCGCGGGTGTGTGAGTCTGCGCATGCACCAGTAAACTGCGTTTTACTATTTGTTCTGCGGTACTATTTTTATCTGTTGAATTACTAAGCGTACTGGTGACGCTATCATCCGCATTAGGTTGTGCGTCAGCACTGGCAGTGACAGTTTTTGATTTGGACCGACTGGTGCGTGGGCGTTGACTTAACAATGATGGCGATGCCACTTCTATGTCATCAGTACTTCTACTTCTAACTACTGTACTAATGGCAGTGGGTGATAATTGTTCAACTTCAAGTGCATCCTTTACAAGTGACTCATCATCAATTTTACAAATTGAGCTTTTACGTGAACCACTGCTGCCTCCAAAAAGTTTCTTACCAAAAAATATACGACCAATTGATTTTCTTTTCATACGTTTAGCACGTTTTCGCTCCTCGCAGTCTCGCTTCATTGCCAGTACCTTCTTCTCGAAGAGAGTAGCAAAAACTGCTTCGTAGGTAATGGCGCGTTGCAAATCCTCAAACGTATCATTTGTACAAACTGCTTTATCTAATTTAGTCAGTAGAACCACTTCATTATCAACTGCATTGCAAATTGCATTCTCATTGACATTCGTTGTTGTTGTTATTGCTATTGTTCCAGGAGGTGATGGCATTTTCTCTTTATATACATCATCTAATATCTCTGTTTCATGCTCCTCCAATGAAGTACTTTCCTGTACGGATGTATCAAACGTGGTGTGCACGGGTATATCATCGGCACCCTCCTTACCGTCTTCCTCCATTTTACTTACTTTTCTATCCGTTTCTTTTTTATTTTTTACTTAATACTATAATATTTTGCAATTGTTTACAGATTTATACATTATTTCCTCCGCATTATCCGCATTTGCTGTTCTTCTGCAAATATGAGCGCCAAGTTCCTTTAGCGCCTTGGAAAACAATTCGCATATATTTACTTGGCGTTGTTGTTGCTGTTGTCCTCGTTGCTGCTGTTGTTGTTGTTGTTGTTGTTGCGATATTAGTATTATTTGAGACAAGTTGATTGATGTTGTCGATTTAATACACTTCAACATTTTCCAATTGTTTGGTTAGATAGCATTGACATATATACACCTATTATCCATATATTCTTACACATTTTGTTATTTTTGTTGTAATTTTTTTATTGATTATTTCAAAACTTCGAAGGAATTTTTACTTTATTTTTTATTATGATGGAAAATGAAACAAATCGATTAAATATTTCTAAGCCCAGAATTGCTTACCTGGGACGAGAGAGATAGTACGCAATTTATATTTCATAAATGTGCCATCTGAAAAAAAAAATAAATTTATATTAAATAATTGAATAAGAAATTTATAGCTAATAATTAACAAAGAATTTAAAAAGTATAATACATAAATAATAATACTTAAGAAAAACTCTACTGAATACTTGCTTAATGAATGGACTTTATGGAAAAGAAGAATTCGACGAATTTACATTTATATTTTCAAACTATGGACGAAATTTTGCTGACTGTAATAGAACACATCCTTATATATGGTATTAGAAAATTTTTGTATTGATCGATTTATATACAATCGGCTTTATTGCATCTGGAGTGATGCATGTTTAAAGTCGGTTGAAAACCTTAGCATAATAAATCAATATAAGACATTAAGAAAAAATTGTCTAACAGAAAAAAGTTGTCGATTTTTTAGTGCGATTTGAAAAACCAAATAATCATAATCCAATCTCATTTTTCCAGGATGTCTTTTGGAATGTTAGTTAAAGCCTTTTAAAAAGCTTCTTTCTTCAAAAACCATTTTCCTTTATTGGTTAAATGCATTTTATCGAAAAATCAAAAGACGGATGGTACCAAATGAGGTATAATCGAGAAGTGACTATAAGTCGAAAAGTAAGTATGCACCTAGTGTGTCTTAGGGCATACTATGAAGATTGACAAAACCAACGTTTACTACTTTCTTTGCCTTTTCCGCAGTTGAGACTAGAGTCACTGACTAACTGATATCTTTACTGATATCACACTGAGATCGCTGGAATATTTTTATTTAAAAGTAATAAATCTTGAAACAAACTATAATATTATTACAAAAGCGAAAATCGACAGACTGCCCTAATCTCACAATAATCTCTAGCCGCAAGGGTTGGTACGCAGATTTTAAATCAGTCATCGAATAATCATGAAGCTTTTGAAGAATACATAACTTAGTCAGTGAGCAGGGTGGAACTCTGCAGAAACCCCCCAGCTATCAAAAAGTAAAATTGCCCAGATGCACTAATTCGAAGAAGACTCAACATAAACAAAAGTATTTTAAAAAATGATGTGTTAAAGTATTAAACAATCTTATAACATATTTAAGAGGTTCTTAACTTATAAAAAGTTGAAGAGACTTGTGTTTTCGAAATACACATTCAAACAAGTAGCTCTAATATGTGATAATTGAATAATAAAAAAGTATCTATCTATGTATTTGTCTATCTATCTATCTATCTATCTATCTATCTATCTATCTATCTATATGATAATGCATATGTATAGAGAGTTAAGTAATTGTCTTAAAATTTTTCTATATATAGCAAATGTTGCTGCATATTTGCCGTCTTCAGTACAGTAGTCTAAACATAGCATTATAAACGAACTTATTTGGTCTGTTAAACATTCTCAATATGCATTTATTAATAAATAAACCCAAATTCCCAAAAATTAAAGATAAATTATTTACTAATTTATATCAATTAATACTATTTCGGTTGTATTATGTCTGTATGGATATTATAAATCATTTTAGATCAATAATGATCTAATTTACCAGACCATTTTGTTAATATCCTTTTATCATATTATTTCATTAATAAGTTAATGTCACTTTAATACATAATTGTATTAGTAAGTTAAATTACTAAGTTACTACTAAATTACTAAGTTACTAAGTATTAGTTTAAGTAAAAATATAATATTATAATGAAAAATATAATAAATATATATATATATACATTTTAGGTTGTTTGGAAAGTAATTTAATTTTTCCCGACAGAGGATGTAATTGTATTTTTTTGCACCCAACTTCACACTTAAGCCGTATAATTTTTATATGCTTTGAGAGCTCATATAGCAAGGCTTGTGTGTGAAAATTGTGTAATTTTACGCAGTAGTTTTTGGTTGGTGCCCTTTTAAATATGGAGAGCTTTAAGCAGCATTTTCGACATATCGTACTGTTTTACTACAGAAAGGGTAAAAATGCTGTTCAATCCAGAAAGAAATTGACCGATGTGTATGGAGAAGGTTTGTTGACAGTACGCCAGTGCCAGAACTGGTTCTCTAAATTTAGATCCGACAATTTAAATGTCGAAGATGAACATTAAAAGACGCAATAAAGACATTAGTTGATGCGAACCGGCGAATAACAACATGTGAGATCGGATCGAGTTTAAATTGATCAAATTCAACAGTTTATGACCACTTGAAAGGCCTGAAATTATCCTCGAAGCTCGATGTATGGGTTCCCCATCCATTCATTTCCACAAAAAAAAAAATTGCTTTCCGAACAACCTAATATATTGTACTATACATTCAATATATTAGTAAACTAAGGTAAGTAAAATTTAACATAACTTCGATGCTACCACGGTAAAAGTATAGAGAACCTTTTTATAAGTGATAGTTAAAATCATCAATAGTTGTTGAGATTTCAACATGCCCAGATCTTGATATCAATAACAAATACGTCTTTACATTTTCTTCTTTACGTGCCATTAGGGCATATGTAATGCCTCTAATCATATCTAATCTATTCTCTTATCCAATTATGAGAATATCCTAATATGGACACTTTTTATTGTAACTATTTTATACATTAATATAATATTATATTATGACTGTGGTTAGATTTCTATAAAGTGGTTATTTTATATACGATTGCCTCAACAATTTTTTAAAACGAATTTATATATTTTTTTATATATTTTAATACTTTTAAAGTATTTTGCAAAAAAAGAATCACTTATAAATTTATTATTCAATAAATTGTGGTAGTACTTTAAAAATTTAAATTTAATTATTTTATTTAAAGTGACCAATAACGAAGGCAATGAATCCGCTTAAATTTCCCAATTAAAAAAATTCAATGGCAACGCAATAGTAATATTTTTCACTATATTTTAAAAAATTAAAAGTAGAAAGTAAAAAAAACTTTTATTAACAATGAAATCCTTAAATAATTTGAAAAACCTGTTGCTATTTACTATCCTGCAGCATTTGTGGTGGCAGTAAAAATCTTTTGTTGTATAAACGCCAATAAAATAACAACTAACAAGCTGAGCAATAACAAAAGTTGCACCAACAGTTGCAACGTTGAAGTCGCAAATAGACTGAAAACCGAAAATTAAGTTAAAAAAGTAAATAAAAATAGTGGAAGCAAAAAATGTGCAATTTAAACAGGAAGTTGTAGAAACAACATGACCCCAGAAAGTTGGGTCCAATATTAAAAGTCGAACTTTCGAAACAGTAAAGTAAGTTTTGCTTCTAGGAACGAACATTTTTTCGATTGTATCTTTTTGTGAAATATTATTAAAAACAAAATGCAGGTGTTTATAATTTTGTTATTTTAAATATAACGGCATGTCTATAGACAAGGCAACACGCAAGGACTATATCTGATCAATAAAATAAAAAATGGATTTAGTATCTATTCGTGGTTTGAAAAGAATGTTTCATGGACGAATTTGCCGTCAGCAATTGCAAATTAAAAACCGATTAAGAGCGACCCTTGCGTTAGCTATATATATATGCTTATTGTTTACAATATAAAGACAAATAAAGGATATGATATTTAATATAAAAATAAAGGCAAATTTACAGTGTGACGTAGCTGGTTTCTGTTTTCATAAATAACACTTTTATAAATTTTTTAATATGTAAAAGATAATATAAAATTTATGCAAATGACAGCTACTTGTCAAATACACGCCGTCACTGGTTATATTTAAAAATGTGCACAACACTAACATGAAGGATGAAGGACGAAATCAAATGCAATGGCTGTAGCAAGATTATAGTTTACATGAATATGGTAATAAAGCTATTTATACATTTTATACAAAAAATGCAATTCCCAGATGTTTATGAAAATGTAATTTAAATAAATGAAAACAAATACTTATTCCATTGTTTACTTAACTTCAGAATTTAGTTCATTTTATTTATGAAAATGTTTATTTATTTATTTATCTAAGCTTATCAATCTCAACTCCTGGTATTACAAAATCCAGTTAAAATAACACTGCAAACACAAGTAAATGCAGCTAAATGAAAGCTTCATGAAAAGTATTTGAAAAGCATCCCAAGACACCTTTTATCACTAGAAAATTCCACACTTGTTATCCATTCATAGTGCATTGGCAAACATTATCAGGTGCACGTAAGTGTCTTCAGTACGTGCACAACGTCATACACTCAAGCGTATTCTTAGATGGCATTACCGGAATCCAAGAGCAAAATTGCAAAACATTTTCAAAGAATTCCATTTCATTCTGAGCAGTTAAGATATCTGATACATGCAACCATAACCAAAAGATAACAAATGTAACGAATGCAGAATATGAAACGTACTTAGTAACCTCAAGCATGCAATACCATCACAAACAATTGAAGGTCCTTATTGTTACTTAATTTACAAGAGAAACAATATTTGAAGTGAATTTTCTTGATGTATCTATGGTATTTGCAAATTGTATAAACTAAACTGAAATTTTTGAGTTGAAAGAAAATTACAAGTGAAACTTTGCGGTCTTCAAATATGA